TCATGAGGCATTCCCAGTTTCGCCCCCGCCCGCGAGGGGGAGGACAGCGCCAGCATCCTCGCCGATGGCCCCGAGGGCCGCGGCCGCCCGCGCGGGCCGCACGTACGAAGAGGCCTGCTGCCCCCCCCTTCCGGTGGTCGACATGTTCTTGGCCCGGGCCCTCCACTGAACCTGCTGCTGGTGCTAGCCTCGCCTCCACAGGCCCAGCACAAGTTTGTCCGTGGCCTGAAGCACATACCACGCGGCAGGGTCCGAGTTGTTGCCAAGCACCTCGAGCCCTGAAGAGAAGCTGGCCAGGGCGCCCGTCTGCGGCGGCCATCATCCGGCGAACGGGCTGATGACGCGCAGATGCATTTTGAACGGCGAAAACCTCGCCCAGCCCCTGCTGAGCATGACGGCCTGGAGAACGACGGCGCGCTGGCAAGCCACCGACAGCCCTGCCCAGCAAGGGCATTCGGCCGATGTCCTCACTTCCAGCTAGCTACTCCACTCCATGGGCACGGGGGCCCGTTGCTCCCTGAGGTCAAAGCATCCGTCTTCACTGCGGCTGCCGCAGTCGCGCAAGCAGGAGCAGGACAGGTAGTCCTCGGCCCACTCGAGCCAAGGGAGGAAGAAGAGGGAGGAGCGAGGAGGGAGGAGGGAGGGGGGAGGAGGGAGGAGGGAAGAGCGAAGAGGTAGGAGGGAGGAGGGGGAAGGGAGGAGGGAGGAGGGAAGAGGAGGAGGGAGGCGAGAGGAGGAGAGGAGGAGGGAGGAGGAGGAAGGAGGAGGAGGAGGAGGAGGAGGAGTTGGAGGAGGAGGAGGAGGAGGAGGAAAAGGACGAGGAGGGAGGAGGAGGAGGAGGAGGAGGAGGGAAGGAGGAGGAGGAGGAGGAGGAAGAGGAGGAGGAGGAGAGTGGAGCAAACCGAAAAACGGTCGAGCGGGGCCCCCGCGCCCGCCGCGCTCAGCCGCCCGCGGCCGTCCGCGGTCGAGGCGGCGCGCCTCGGCGCGGCGCAAGACCGAGGGCCTCCACCCACAGAGATGAGGCGGGCAGACCCTCGGTCTGTGGTGAGGCACCACGGCCTGCAGCCTGGCCAGCGGACCGCCGCGCGGCCGAACCTGGCCTCCACAGCCCCAGCGAGAAGTCGGGGATGGCGTCGACCACGGCGTTGGAGACGGCGTCGGGCTCGACGTCGAGGTCCGCCCTGCCCTCGCCCGACTCGAGCTGGCCCATCTCCTCGACAGGCTCCCACTGCTCCAGCGCGTCGTCGGGAATGACGTGGGCCTCGGCGTCGGGAACAGCGTCGGGCTCGGCGTCGAGGTCCGCCACCGTGAGCAGCGAGCTCTCGATGTGGGCCCGCCTTGCAGCCGAGCTGGGCCGGTCGCAACTCAGCCACCTGCGAGATGGGGCGCTGCTCGGCTCACCAGGCCCAGCAGCAGACGGGGCATCCGTAGCCAGGGAAGGCGCACCGCTCCTCGGGCGATCAGTGTCATTGAGGGCAGCCATCGCCAGCCAACCCTCCGTAGCCGTCGACCCGTCTTGCTGGGCACCCATGGCCTCGCTGCAGCGCCCCACGCCAGCCACGTCAGCGCCTCCCGCTGCGGCCCGCCCAGCAGCGCCTCGGCCCTCGGCAGCAGCGCGGCGCACGGTGGCCGCGGTGGCGTACCTGGTGCGCTCCGTGCCCAGCACGATGTAGTCGCCGTCCGCGATGGTGTTCGAAGAGTGCTCCAGGGCGAGGGCCAGCACCTCGAAGTCCATCCGCTCGGTGCTGGACGCTGCGTCGAGCTCCACGTCACTACCTGCATCGCCGCACTCCGATCTGGGCCGGTCGCGAACTCTGACAGCGGGACCTTCTAGGCTCGGTTCCGAGACGTGGGCGCCGCGATAGCAGTCCTCGACATGATTGGCCACTACGCCGCGCCCATCACCTCCCCCAGCGAGGTCGACACCACCATCACGCTCAGCAGCAGGCGAGGCACGCATTTCCGCTGCAGGTCCTCCAGCGCGCGGTCTGACGCGCGAGCTGCGCGCCCGCGCGATGGGCGGCCTCGCGCCACGGGCGCGCCTACGCCTGCCTCCATCAACGGGAACTTCGAGCTGATCTGAGCTCGAGCCGTGGACCATGCCGCGGTTCGCGCGCGCCCCCTCGCCATCGCCCACCCGGGCATCGCCCGCGGAGCGGTCGCGCGGCTGTGCTTCTTTTTTTTTTGGGGGGGGGCCTCGGGGCGCATGCGGAGCTGCCCCCCCCTGCCCCCCCCCCCCCGGCCATCGCGCCGCCCCTCGCGGCGATCGGAACCCGCCCACGCCACCCCTCCAATAGCGGCGCGCCCTCCGCGCCTCGCGCCAGCGGCAGCCCCCTAGCGAGGGCTCGCGGCGCTCAGCGGGCCCACGGGAATCGGCAACCTCCACGCCGCCCATGCCCAGATCGACGCCGAACTCGGGCGCGCGTAGCGACGGCGAGCCCGGCAGCCGCAATGGCACATCAGGACTCGGCGAAACGACGCCTGCGGCGACGGAGCCCGG